AACCTGTGTTAGATTGATAGAAAAATGCATATATGGTTGGTGATCTGATTCTAACAAATATAATTTTAATTATATGGTAGCTTTACTAAAGGAAAAAAATGTTTTGTTAATCAAAGTTGTGTTGATTTATCCACTATTGTGGTTGAATATATTGTAGCTATTGAACCTTATAAGCAACACTTATGGATTAATAAAGTAATACAAGAATTAGGTGTTAAGCAAAAAAATACTTAGATGTTTTGAGACAATCAAAGTTCAGTGCATTTATGTAAAAACTAGACGTTTTATTACATATCAAAGTATATTGAAATGTGATATTATTGTGCATATGAAAGCTACAAGAGATAAAGTATTTTTCACTTGTAAAGATCAATACTTATCAGAATGGAAAAAATGGAAAAAATGACTCAAAGAAATGCAACTCTGACTCTTCAAAAGTTGTATGCTAGTAGGAAAAAGAAAGTAGATTCTATCAAATGTGTCAAATCACTCACATGCAATAATCGAGTGTTTTAATTCCCAAGGATCATAATGAGAGTACCACCAAAAATAAGTTTAAAGCATGGAGAATTGAAGGTATCAATCCCTAAGAAACTAATATGTTCATTGTTTCTCTTCCAAAGATAAATGAGAGAGTGGTCGATAACCGATGCTAACACAATAAAAACTTGTCTTGCTACGCATATGCAGAGTCTTGGGAGTTAACTGTTATGGGTCAACTATATAGACCCCAGCCGGCCACCGTGGAGGAGCCGTAATCCTTCTATAATCTTCTTATCGCACGAGAACCGTCATACTAACAAGCACATAAGATTCAAATTTCAAGTACATCCAACAGATGTCCGCAACTTAATCCTAACTAAAAACAAGTTAGTTATTTCCTCTCTATTATATATAGAGAAGGTGTCAATTGATGTATGAATTTTCAAATTCAATTTCAATTTACTCTTTTGTATCACATATTGACTTGAGTGTTAGAGTGCTAATCTTGTAGGTCATCCCCCTTTCCATCACACCGGAAGCTTAGATTTTCCATTATCTTCAATCCTCACTCCATTTCTGATTCCAATACAGAACAATCACTAATCAAAATCTTCATGACCATAATTTATAAACACACAAAGTTTGAGTTTCTCATCAAACTTGGACCTCTCATATCTTGAAATATGAACAAAAACCTTGCAACCAAATACTCTGAAATAGACATATTTCCATTCACGCTTTATTATAATTATCGCGATCAAATGGAAATGAAAGATAAAGATTGGTCGAATCAACTAGAGGTTACATTGCATCACCCTAAAGGGTTTCAATAATTTTTCATTAGACAACAAATATGAAATGCATTCACTTCCTTCTTGTATAACTTCAATGATGCATCTTGTAGATATTAATGGAACATTGTTTCATTTTTACTCATACTTTGATGATATTACATATGCCACCATCATGGTATGTTTGATGATTATGAATATCAAAGCCTTTAACTAAAATCAAATGAATATCAGAAACATGTATAACATTCTTCCGTTGTAGCTTCCATCATAGTGTCATAACATTTTCATATACTCCTTCATTTCTAATATTTATCATGCCAACATCATCAATAATATAAGAAAAATATATATCATGTCTTGGAGTGACATGATATGAGGCTCTCAAATTAACAATCCAAATTAAATCATGAAATGAAAGGTTCATATAGTTATCATCATAAATATAATATAAGAGGCTTAATCAAATTTTGTTAAAGGTTAAAAAATGAGAAGAAAAAATAGTAAATCTTATTTAAAATGTATTTTGAGAAGTCCTTTGACTTAGTTGAATGAGTTTCTTTTTGAAAGATTTGATAGTAAGATGGAGTTCGTAGGGAGATGTAGAGTGTGAGATATTAGATTGAACTCTAGTATTATCGACAAGGATGTTGTCAGCAGGGATAACTTTCATGTTTCGACAGGAGACAAGCATGAAGTTGAAGTTAGTTCACATGCTGATGTCGAAGTGTCACATGTTGTAGTCGAAGTTAGTTCTTGTATGTAATATCGAAATGTAATACTGAATTTGGCCTTGTGTTATGAATCCAATTGTTTATGTTAACTTGTTATTTAAGTTAACTTAGTAGCTATAAATAGGCTAGATCTCTCAGATTGTTGAGAGAGGCCAATTGTGTTATTCACTTGTAATCATTTTTACCCTAATTGAGTAAGTGAATAGAAAAGAGTTTGTCCAAAATCCTATTATCCTTCTTTCTTCTTTCTTCTTTCTTATCTCTCCCTTTGTTCTAACCTTTTCATTATTCATCCAAGAAACTCTGTTTCTCAATCAAGAATTTGTTAATTGGTATCGTTTGTCACAACAAACTGGTGCAGTGAGCTTGAAGAAAAATGTCGTCAACAAAGTTTGAAATTGAGAAGTTCACTAGAGTTAATGATTTCGATTTATGGCGCTTGAAGATGCGAGCCTTTCTTGCTAAACAGGGTTTGCTAAAAGCATTAAAGGGAGAAGAAGCCATGGATGATGCATTGAAGGAGAAGGATAACACTACAATGAGCGAGAAAGCCTACAATGCCATTGTTATGAGTCTTAGTGATAAGGTGCTCAGGCGGGTTTCGAAGAAGACGACGGAAGTTGGTGTTTGAATGAAACTCGAAGGATTGTATATGAAAAAAATACTTGGTGAATCGTTCGTACTTGAAGGAAGCTTTTTAGTCATTCAAGATGAATGATGATAAAGCATTGACGGAGCAATTGGAGACGTTCAGCAAGCTGGCTCTTAATCTTGAAAATATTGAGGTTATCATCAGTGACGAAGATCAAGTGTTCTTCCTAGCATCCATGTACCCTCTTATCTTTATCAGGGGGATGTACCATCAGTCAGTTGCGGGAGCCATGTCTGCAAAGGCTCGATCAAAGACATATTGTCGAACGAAGGCAGAAGTAGTTCCTAGCATGATGGGATCCATTCAATCGCTTGAAATATCATTACCAACTTTCTTAGTCGAAGTTGCTAATATCTCCATGATCAATAAATATATATTATTGACAAGACTGATGCATGTACAATAAATTTTGAGTAATCATTATTATCTTATAAGCCCTAATGTAGAAGTGCAAGAATGAAGAAAACATGAACTTCAAAATCATGTAAAATGTTCCAAATTTCTTTCTCTTAATTCATGTAAAATGTTCCAAATGTCTTATAATTTAGACGGAGGTAGTACTTTGTAAAAAAAAATTGTTAATTATAAGTCATATTATAAAAAATAAAAAAAAAATCAATACATCCTATCATTTATTATTATTTCTTCTTTCAATTTTTTTAAAAAAATTTTTATTTAATATTATAAAATCATACATTTTTTTTTAACAAAATTAATTATTATTTTTTAATTGGTATAAAATTCTAAAATATTTCAAAAAAAAAATATTTGTAAAACTATACTACCTCCCATATTTTTTTATAAGAAAGATTTTACCTTTTTTTTATATTCATTAAATAATTAATATATTTAATTTATAAAACAAATCAAATATATTAACTATTTAATAATTTTAAAAAAAAATAAAATGTTGTTTTACCGGAGGAAATATTAAATTGGGTGCCGGCAATAAAAGACAAGCGGTTTTCCTTACACATGTAGCCTACTGCCTACCTGTAAAAATGTTGGTCGAAATAGTTTGAGCCTCCTTTTTCATTAAAACGAGGGTCAATAAATGAATAGTGACGGTTGTTAAATGCAGATTATTAATTAAACAAGTGTGTCGGTGTTATGGTGAAACTTAAATGGATGCCAATTCTTTTCAATCTTTTCTTTTTTTTGAAAAAAGCAAAATGCATTAAAAAACAAACACCCATTCTTTTCAATCTTTTTAACCAACTCAAGTTGTAAAGTGACCTATGTTATGCAAGAAATAAAAACCTTTTTTCCTATATTCCGTCGTCACGCAGTTACATAGATTAATTAAAATTAAAATAAACTGAAAAATATAATTTAAATTTTTAGTATATGGATTACCATTTAATTGATACATTTTTTTTAAAGAAATATTATTACTCATAATTAGTTTCATTTTATAATATGTATTTATTTCCTCTTATTTTAAAATGAAGAAAGAAGGAAAGTGGAAGGAGTTGAAATAGAACAAAAACACAGGACAGCGAGGCACATGGCGACCAAAAATAGTTATATAAATTCTTCTATAACCTCACACACAAATCTCACCTTTTTTCTTCATTTTCAGCCTTAAACTTTCACTTCTTCTTCCCCATTCATTCACCTCCTTTATCCACATTCAACGTAACAACAGTACAGTACGTACTCTTTTCCTTCGTCATTTCCATGCACTTTCTCTTCTTCTTTTCACTCTCCTCTCAGATCTATCTCTATTCTGACCGTTTTCTTAATTACTGTTCTTCCTTTGTTCGTTTCTGCTACTATCCATTTGTGGCTATAGTTCTGAACTTCTGAATTCTGAATATAACACACTAGATCAGAACAAAAAAAACTCATGATAGAAACTTTTCGTACGTGTCAAGAAATCTTGACAATTACTCCATTCTTTTTATGTATAAGAATATTGTACAACATATTGTGAGATCCAGCGTTTCATTATGCTTTTCTTCAATTTTTTGAGTCAGTGATGGGAGCATGTAACTGGGGCCCAATGTCATGTGAACATCATTAAAGCAATTGTGACATTACATCGCTTGTCAAAAGTAGTTGGTTTTTGAATTCTTGAATTCTCATTATGTCGGTAGTTAGTACCGATAGAATCAGTTTAATGTTTAATTAATCATTGATCTATTTTTCTCTTTCATTTTTGTTACTGTTATTTAAGATTTTCTAAATTTGGATCTACCATTGGAATATCTGTTATGTTTGTTACATAGTATTGTTACCTGTGTTGTTGTTTTTGTTCCTTTTGGCACTGGTTTGATCTGAAGTTTTGTTGTTGTTTTTTCTGCAGATAGATATTTAGTGGAATAAGAATCTAGGATCATGAAACATAAAGATGGAAAACTGATTAACCAGCCGAACAAGAATCGATCTCTGACCGCCGCGATTACTGTCATTGTCTTGTGTGGTTTATCTTTCTACCTAGGTGGAGTTTTTAAATCTGCAGACACTGAGGGTGTTGGTGTTATCAGTGCCATTCAGAAAACACTTGATTCTTCACAGCAATCCTCGGGTTCTTTGCAAATTAAGCCCTTCAATTACCCTGAATGCGGCGAGGACTATCAAGACTACACTCCTTGCACAGATCCAAAGGTATTCATGTTTAATACCGATGGAAACCTCTTTAAGTTTCATTGTTGTGTGGATTAGTTTTGAGAGTTAATGGTTTTTGCAGAGATGGAGAAAGTATGGTACCTATAGGCTTACTTTGTTGGAAAGACATTGCCCGCCGATTTTCGAAAGGAAAGAATGCTTAGTTCCTCCTCCACCTGGTTACAAGCCTCCAATCAGATGGCCTAAGAGTAGAGATGAATGTTGGTACAGGTATGTAATAAATACTATGTGACTTATGAGCTGAAACTGTTCAAAGTTTGGATTATGATTTTAAGCTATTTTTGTTTATATGAATAAATGACAGGAATGTGCCATATGATTGGATTAACAAGCAAAAGTCTAATCAGCATTGGTTGAAAAAGGAAGGGGAGAAATTTCTCTTTCCTGGTGGAGGTACTATGTTCCCTAATGGTGTTGGGGAATATGTTGATTTAATGCAAGATCTGATCCCTGGAATTAAAGACGGTTCTGTTAGAACTGCAATTGATACTGGTTGTGGGGTGAGTTTTATCTTTCTTTTAAACATTTATTACACTATGTAGTTCTAACACTTCAGATCGAAGGTGTGTCTGGTGTCCGACAACAACTCATGTTTATAATCAATCACTTATGTTAGGTTGCTAGCTGGGGTGGTGACTTGTTGGATCGCGGCGTTCTAACAATTTCTCTTGCGCCGAGAGATAACCATGAAGCTCAGGTTCAATTTGCTCTGGAGCGCGGTATCCCGGCAATTCTTGGTGTCATCTCTACTCAAAGACTTCCTTTCTCATCAAACTCGTTCGATATGGCTCATTGCTCTAGATGCCTTATCCCATGGACAGAATTTGGTAATTCTTCAACGCTTTCGTCTAAGTTATAAGTTATTTTCATAGACTATCTTGTTTAGTGCTGATTTAAGTTTGGTCGAAATTTCTATTTGTTATCTGATGGGGATATTCATATCTGTTGCTTTTAGGTGGAATTTATCTTTTTGAAATTCACCGAATCCTTCGTCCGGGAGGATTTTGGGTTCTGTCCGGGCCACCAGTTAACTACGAGCGAAGGTGGCGCGGATGGAATACAACAGTGGAAGAGCAAAGATCAGACTATGATAAGCTACAAGATTTGCTCACATCAATGTGCTTCAAATTATACAACAAAAAGGACGACATTGCTGTATGGCAAAAGGCCCGGGATAACAGTTGCTACGACAAGCTCCCTAAAGAGTCCTATCCTCCAAAATGTGACGACAGTTTCGAACCAGATTCAGCATGGTACACTCCGCTTCGCGCTTGCTTCGTTGTTCCACAAGATAAGTACAAGAACTCAGGCCTCACGTACATGTCGAAATGGCCTAAGCGGTTGAATGTTGTACCCGAAAGGCTTTCCGTTGTTCAAGGTTCTAGTTCTAGTTCTTTCAATCATGATAACAGTAAATGGAAAAAGCGAATTTCGCATTACAAGACACTGTTGCCTGATCTTGGAACAGAAAGTATCAGAAATGTGATGGACATGAATACAGCTTATGGAGGTTTTGCTGCTTCTTTGATTAATGATCCTTTGTGGGTTATGAATGTTGTTTCATCTTATGGTCCTAATACGCTCCCCGTAGTTTTTGATCGCGGTCTCATCGGTACCTACCATGACTGGTATGTTTAAAACTTTATATATGAACTCGCATAAATTTCTGTCTTTTTGAGCATTTTGATCATAAATCATGTTTTGTGCTGTTAGGTGTGAAGCTTTTTCAACATATCCTAGAACCTATGACCTACTTCATGCTGATGGACTCTTCACTGCAGAAAGTCACAGGTAAACTTTGATTTTTGACAGTTTAATTAATCACTTCTTGAATAAGCATATACAAATATACATAAGCTCATATTAATTGGTTATTACTTATGTAGATGTGAAATGAAGTATATGTTGTTGGAAATGGACCGAATTTTAAGACCTGGCGGGCGCGTGATAATCCGAGAGGCTACTTACTTTGCTGACGCGGTTGCAACTCTTGGAAAGGGTATGAGATGGTTATGTCACAAAGAAAACACTGAGTATGATGTTGAGAAAGAGAAGATAGTGATATGCCAGAAGAAGCTATGGCAGCCATCGAACTCAGGATCAAGATGACAAACTCATGAACCTGGGCAGGCGTGAGAGGGAATGACTATCTCGAAATCGGGATTCCAGAAGTAAAGAAACAAAGGGAAACGAATTCGGAGTCACTCAGAAAAGATTGATTGATTTTATTTATATAATATACATGCCTAGTATCAATCAAGTTCAAAGTTTTATCAGATGAAGAAACTAGTAACTCAATAATGCTGATTTTGTTAAGTTATACAGAAAATTTCTTATAGATTATATATTCTTTGTTATATTGTATCATGTGTACCAATGTTGTTTATCTATTCAACTTTCAAGTGATATTATTATTCAAGTGAAGAAGTTAAAGTTTTAAACCACATAGAAAACTTTTAGTAAGTATTCTGATCATTTATAATTCAATGTTGAGTTCACATTGTGTTCATGTTATGTTTGTGGCTGAAAAAATGGATATAGCTTTATTCAGGTTTTAGCCTTATTCAATGGATATAGCCTTATTCAATGAAAATTCTCTATTGAAATGGCACAGGTGTTGGTAACCTTGATACTAGGATGGTGATTCAAAGTTTAATTTTTTATTTACTTATGAGTTTTGTATACGCATAGAAGAAAACTTTTAATTTTTTATTTATTTATGGGTTTTGTTTGCGCATAGAAGAAAATTTTGGATAAAATTGAAGGGCAGTTTGTTTTGACTTTTTTTTAAAATGATTCTTATAGGGTAATATAATTTTGTATATAAAAAATTTAAATAAAAATTTGATTTAAATAATTATTTTCTTAAAATTCTATTTTAGATATTTCATCATTTTATTAAAAAAAAATTATATTAAAATTTTAAAAAATCACTTAATTTTGAAACTATTTCAAATAGATTTTTATAAAAAATATTTTTGAAATATAACTTTTTGAAAAAATTGTAATTTTGACTATCTTTTAATCTTCAATAATGTATGTTTATGTTATAGAATGTCAAAATTAATTTTTCAATTTAAAAAAAATAAATATAAAAATATTTGTAATATTTTAAAAAACAGTTTTGCAAAATTTATTTTTGAAAATACAAAAAGAATCCATTTTTTAAAAGCTCATACAAACCGGCCCTGAATGTTTTTCAACAAAAATTTTATCTCATGTTGCTTAGTGTTTTATCGGAGACTTTAATGCTATCCACGATATAAACTTAAAGTTTATGTTATCTAATAATTTTGGTTATTCGGAATTTTTTTTTAAGCTTCTTATAACAAACACTATTTTATGACGCATCAAATGAGTGTCATCCTATATGAGTGTAAAAAAAAATTTTGAGATTCATCTCCGGGTATTTTCAATAAATTTATAAATCATTCTATCTATTAAATTATTTTTATGAAAAGAAATTTATTGAAATTTAACAAGCTTAGTGGTTATTACGGAGATGCGTCGTCGAAAGTTTGAGGCGGAATTTTGAAATTTGTTGTCACCTTTGCATGTCAGAATACCTTGATAAAACGCAAAGTTGCATGATCACAATCATACTTGTTTTTCACTCAAAACCCTCACCAAAAACTCTTCCATTCTCAATCCATGTTTCATTCCAAAGCTTTAATCTTGTATTTCATCACATCAAAGGGAGCAAAAGATGTTAGAATTCCTGACAAAAGTCATTTATTTCAAGTCTCATTGCTCACATTAAGCTTGTTTTCTATCTGAAAACCATGCATTATTTTCAGAGATGCATTTCATGAACGAGTATGAACTCATCCGGAAATGCATTTCTGGTCAGTCTGTGTTCTTTTTTTCAGCTCTGTTGACAGAATTAACACTTATTTACTGTTATGTGGTAATTGTTTTCATTAGATATGTTGCACCCTGATGTTTTTCCCAAAAATCTTGTGTCTCCGGATGCTAGATGTGTTGTTGTGAAGGAGGTAGGTATTCACAACCAATTTAGCAACGAGCAAGAGTTTAAAATTCGCGATCACATGCTTCAATGGACTCGTACAGAGGTGTTCAATTGAGATTTGGTGTTGTAATCGAAAGGTTCAATAATGGTTCAGATAGAAGATATGCTTTTGTGACAATGACATTCGAAAGAAGCAGGAAATATAGACATCCTCTTTGAAATTTTAAGTGAGACGACACAGGTTCAAAAAAATATGAGTGTTTGTTTTAGTTGAGTCGTTATATGTTGGCAAACAATAAATGAAGATTTAATATGATATGTGGTTTGCATAAACATGACTTATGTGAAAAGTTAGTTGGTCATCCAATTGTGTGTCGCCTCTTATCGGAAGAGAATGAATGTGTTACTGAAATGACATTGAATTTAGTTCAACCGAAAAATATACTTGCAACTTTGAAACGCAAAAGACACGAAAATATTTCAAATATCAAGCAAGTGTACGATATTTGATACCAAACTAGCAAGACACTGAAGGGGATAGATCTAAAATGAAACAACTCTTGAAACTGTTGGATGATAACAATTATGTGTCCAGGTACTGAACTTGTGATGATAGAGTAACTGTTAGAGATATATTTTGGACTCGTCCTGATTCCATCAAGTTATTCAACATGTTTCCTACTGTTTTGATAATTGATTCAACGTACAAGACCAACAAGTGTAGACTTCCATTATTAAAGATTGTTGGTGTTACCTCTACTGAGAAGACTTATTATGTCGGGTTTGCATTTCTAGAAATCTAGAAAGAGGATAATGTTATTTGGGCCTTAAAGGTGTGTCAGACAATATTGAAACTCCACATTAAAAAACAATTGAGGAAGATTGCTTATCCGAAAACCACCGACTTGAAACCACCCTCTCAACCGATAAAAGCAAAAGGTTTTTCGAAGAAGTTTAAGCCTACACCAGATGACAATTCGACGAACGGTCTCTTTCATATTTTGAACATGTTGACAAAGTTTTTCCCGACTCACCAGCTCCAAAATCTCAACAAAAGTGTTCTCAAAGGAACTTGCATTAGCAAACCACCTCCTTCGCTGCCTCCACCGAAGATTTCATTCATTGATGAGATGCTGATTTTTATGAAAAAATACATTAAGTTGATCGTCAATGTTAAGGGTGACAGTAATTGCGGTTATCGAGTTGTTTCAGATTTACTCGGTAAAGGATAAGATAATCAATCATACACTTGTCTGCCATCAACTAATCCATGTGTTGAGGAGTCATAAAGAATCATACACATGACTTTAAGTAAATAAAGGAAACTTTGATGTAATTTATTAGTGTCTTGTTCCTTGCAGTAGTGGACCGGGACCGTAGGCTAAATGAATGGGCTTCCCTGAAATGGGTCGCCTCATAGCATGTAAATATGATAAAGTTTGTATTGATCTTACACGATACGGGTTTTCATAAACCTTTTCCCATTATTCACGGCCCCACCTTAAAACCCAAAAGATTGTATTACGTGTATTGGGTAGATTTCAAAATAACAACATTTTTTTCAAGTTTACTTAAAACCGGGATGCCCTATAGCACTTACATCACCGAAGTGGACAACTTATTCAACAAGAAAAGTTGGGACTTGGTCGGACCATTTTGTGGAAAAGATGCAAGAGTTCGATAAATTGAGCAACATTGAAAGAGAATCAAATGCACAAAAGTCAAAGGGGGTGTCACCCATAGATTTAGTCGACGACAAATAATTTGATTCATTTTAATTGTCTGTTTAGGCATATAAATAAGTGTATGTAATTGTATCTCAATATTAATGAAGTATAATATATACAATTTCCACATAATCTAATACATTTTTTTTATTTTTGCTAAAACATTTGTTCATTTTCCAAACGTAAGTCATCATGTAGGTTCTATTTTCAAAGATTTTGTTTTTTGCCTGTTTAGGCGAGGTTTTGAAGATGTATCTTCGAAATAAGACAATAAGGCAGTTTCGAAAATGTATCTTCCAAACCAACATTAATGCTTGATATAATTTTTGTGGTCTACATTTGTCTAATTCTTCTATAAATTTAGGGGCTCTGGTTTTTCATTTCACAAAAACATAAAATGTCTCAAATATCACAAATAAACATCATCTGGTATGTCGCAAATGTCTCATTCTCCAACACGACATCCAGGCGAAAGTTTAAGTTCAAAGAGTGCACCTCTCTTGCAAATCTGAAATATGAAATCCATAATCTCTTATCTTACAAAGACAATTAAAAAATTGTGAAGCTCGAGTATCTTTCATCGTCGATTGACAGCGAAGGAAAGATTGAGTTCAACAACTTTGAGCTCAAGACATATGCAAGGGCTATGTGGAGTACATTTTTCTGTTTCGAAACAAAAGTTCTGCTCGAGTTGGAAGCGACGATTTCAAGATCGATCGAAGATATTGTGAAGATGTTGATGCGTTCACCTGGATATTGAAGTGCAATGTTTTATTTTATGTGAAAATCATCTATGTAATGCTTATTTTATGTTATGAATGTTTATTTTATTTTGTCAAATTACAAGTGTTTGGTTTCTGCCTCTGAAACCGTTGTGCATACGTTACGGAAATGTATCTACAAACAGATTTTAGAGATGCATGTCTGGTTTTAAAAAAACCCAATTAATAGGGCATCACTCAGAATGGTCTACATTGTGTGTGTATTAGGTGCGTCCGGAGATACATCTCTGAAATCTGAAGGCAATATAGTATTTTTGCGTAGTGCGTAAGTAACATATATGATGCGTTAAGAAATTTATTTATTTTTATTGTAGAGGCCATCAAAGATCAATCTAATCTAGATTTAAATCAAGAAAAAAATGTGTGGGCCAAAGCTAAGGGGAAATCATTTTTTGATGGTTATAATAGCAACATTAACTATTGAAAACAATTTGTTAGGAACCTGTAAACAGAATAGTAGAAACAAAACATTAATAATCTAATTGCTAATTAATAATCTGAAACGAATTTAACTTAGAAATTCATCGAGTGAATCATTGTGTAAACACCTCTCGTGCATCACACAATTGAATCAATCCATACCAAGTGTTTCATCATATTATTCTTTGATATTTGTGAAACGATCTGTGA